GTGCTGAAATATTAAGTACAACAGATTTGAATTAATATTATATTATATTATATTATACCTGAGTTACACCAACTGCACTCACTCCTGATTCATTTTTAGATTGCTACCTTGATTTTAAATCCTCTCCTGGCTTTCATGGCTCAGGATCAGAATATTTGGAGATAAACTGGAAGATACTATCACAGTTGGATCAATCATATTCATGCCCTTAACTTGGAAAAGGTTGGGGAAACATCATTTCATTTCATGAAATAAAGCTCATATTTTTGTGGGTAATTCTTGTTCTTCCACCTGATCTAGAGTTGGTCCTGTAATAATGCTTTCAGCTTACTTGCCCAGGAAAAACATTAAGCTAACATTAAACTACTAAAATATCTTAATGTCTGGGCAAAATAATCACTTTATCCTAACCTGTTGGGATGGGCTAAATTCAAATGAAATAAGCGTTTTCCATGCGAAGATCCACTTTCTAATTTAAAAACTACTTGTTTGGAAAAGCTGCAGGGACTATGCAATTAAGTAAAATAAACCGTGTCACAGAGTCACTGTTTAATTTTAGCACTGCAAAGAATCCACATACTTCCCTTCCACTGAAAGAAACAGTGGCTGAGAGAACTGAAAATCTGGTTGATAATGAGCGTGTTTTTTTTCCTTTTCCTCTTGCATAAATTGAGAAGTTAAACATGGGAAAAAGGAACTCTCCTCACACATAATGACAGGTACACGATTTTGCCAGTATTGTTCTTGGTCCTTGGGAAAACTATTGATCAAATTCTTCTAAATAAGATTCTAAAATACAGAAGAGAAAAGGGATTCATATCAGAGGTGCAGCAAGCAGTAAAAGTAATTGGTTTTTTAAAGACAAAACTTCCAAACAAGCAAGAAACAGATGGCTGGATTGAGCTACTAATGTATAATACCAATTCATCAAGCCACTTGGTATTTATTGCATCGTTAAGACACTTATTTTACTGCACTTTCAAACAAAACAAAAAGCAGCCATTATGGGAGCTTCGCCCCAAACCCTGTCATGCTTGAGTGAGAAGGGCAATGCTATTTTTTCCATGCTGCTGCCCCTCACTTACGAACCTCAAAAAGTCATTCCTGAGGGTCCCTGTTGTTCCAGAAGAATTCAGGGAGAAAGAAAACACCCCCTCCAGCTGCTCATCTTGTTACTGCAATCTGCTGCTCACCCACTTGTACAGGACAAAAAAGAATTGGGAGGTGGAAATATTGCTTAACATTCCTTGCCCATCAAAGCTGCCAGGGAAGATCTTCCGCCTTGTCAAGTCTAATTTCAGTACACCACACTGTGACACCAGGCAAGCAAAACTGACTCATTTCGCCGTGCAACATTAAACAGTTAGGTTCTTTTTGCTCACCAGGTATATAGTCAAAATGGCTCTGTAATCTTTTTGTAACGGTTATAAGTCCATACCTCTTGAAACATCCAGCAACAGTATTTTTCTTAGCTCAGTGTCTTCCTCAATAACACCTTGTTGCTGTCATAAAGCATTCATTCCCTTTCTTTACCAATAATTTCAAAAAACTACTCTATATCTTTGCAAGCATGTATTTAGGTTGAGAGTAGAGCTAGAAACATTACCTTTGCTAATTCATCAATGAAACACACATGTGTAACAGGATCTCTTTTCTTAGACAATACCTTCTGTAGATGTTGCACCTGAAAAATAAAGATATGATCTGAAGTCCAAGTTCTTGAGATGTTTTATGGAGGCTGCAAGCTAAGGAAAGGATGTTTAAATGACCAAATACCTGTCCACAAGCTGCACAGATTTGATCCATCAGTTTTTCCATATTGGTCCACAGAGCTGCTCGGAAAGCTGCAGTATTTCCTGGTGTGGGCATAGCTGCTCGGCCAGGACCACCTAGATTTAAAAAAAAAAAACAATCTGTCTTAAAACCACTTGAAAAACTCACACAAACTACACAATTGTTGAACTTCTAGATTGCTATGAAGATCAAAAGCAAGAGGTTGTGGTTCTTCCAGAGAACGAACTGCAGGGGTGCCAAAATCCACACCTCAATTTCTCAACTCAGCAGAGGGCTGAAAGAAACCATCCAGTGATGTAAGGGTGACCCCAGAAGGAGCATGGCTGAATTATTTTGGGGGGTTTAATGGAAGTCCTCTACAAAGCAAACCACTACCATTACCGTGTTTATTCCCTGCCCACCCTGAAAAGTGATATGAAATCACACCACTGAAATCTGGCGCTGAAACTTTAGGGTGCTGGGAAATCTGGCACTTAGTTAAATGAAGAAGACTCAAGTTTAAACACCCAACTGACTGTGATGTTCACCTGGTGACTGGGGGCAAGAAATCCTTATATAAACATTCAAAGTACATCTCCATCCTCTCTCTCACCTTCAGACATGGCGACCCTAGATAAGTTAGCTGTCTGCTGGCTCTCAGTTAAAAACTTAAGTGCCACAATTTTTCAGTATGCAATAATAATTTCTGGTTAAAGCTACAAGAATGGTATCTTTAGCTATATTAATAATTCAGTATTATATTACATTTAACTGCTTTTGCAATAAAATGCCAAAACTCCACAGTGTGTAATTCCTCTTTTTCTTCATCAATATTTTATATCAGATTAAAGGATAAGGTTATAAGCGTTTTCAGTATAATATATCCTCCATAATGTAGGATATTCTATTAGGTAAAATTAGAGGCACCAGTCAAAATCCTGGCAATGCAAACTCAAAATTTACTGCATTTTTCAGAATCTCTATTTGCCTTTTAGTTACTATCACTGTTAACATGACTTGAAATCTGGACAGAATGAAAGTATTGTGCTGAAATATTAAGTACAACAGATTTGAATTAAGAGTGATTAGGAACGGGCCCAAGTCATTTACCTTAATGTGACTTTTCCACTTTGCAGATGCAATGTTATCAAAAAAAAGTAGCTTACCAATTATTACAAAATTATTAAGATTAAGATGAACATACAGACTTGCAATTATACTCCATTTATGGGGATATATCAAATTATGAGGCACTGTTTATCTAATATACCAAAACAACAACACATTGTACCTCTAGCCACTGTCTGAGAAGGCTGAGTCAAGACCTTAATATCCAAAGTGTTGCTGATATTCTCCTCCAAGGATGTACAATATCCTTCCACGACATTAGTAATTGTATCTTTCAAAGTTCCAAGATTATAGAAAACTTGAAGAGCAGTCCCTTCCTGAGTAGGATTCTAGAACAGAGAAAGAAATCATAAATCAAGTTGGTCTTTTAGTGAGAGGTTATCTTCAGCATCAACAGTGTGGCGATTCTTACAAGCTGATGTAAAGTTTTGCTTCCTGTTCTGACTGTTCTATTTTGTATATATCGACTTTATTAGGATGGTTTCCAGTTTAAGAACTAATAAATCTGCTTTTTAACAAAATGTTGCATTAATACATTACACAAAAATATACATGTATGTTAACAAACCTCGATATAGAATTATGTGATTTACAATGCACCTTATAATCACTATAATATAAGGTAGGAAGGGGTTGGATCCAAAGTAAGTTCACTGAACATTGCTTCCATTTAAATCACTTGGACAAGTTGACTGTGACTTAACTCCCTTCAATTTAGTTGGGTAGAGATTGGAAAATCTGAGAAAAAAAAAATCTGGAAAACCTGGAGATCCCCCCCCCCCCGTTTTCCAATAAAAAAATTGGAAAATTTTGAGCAATCTTCTTTTAGAATAAGTAAATTGCTTTTTATTTACAATAGTTTATTCACTCAAAATGTGTAGAAATAAGGTGTTTCTTTGACGATTTACAGTGTTAGTAATAATTTTGCTATGAACTAAGTATTTAGTCTGATCTAGTCTTTTATATTAGGTTTAAAGTAATTGCTTCTGTCTAAATACTATATATCCTTTTGTAGCACAGGTTCATTTTCAACTAATTTTTAGCATTCTCAGACTGTAGTTTCTAAGACATGTGGGCTTAGGCTGCATAAGGCACGAAGGTTCGCAGCTCTCTATTCAATAAAACTTTAACTTTATAGAACAATAGGAAAAAGGGGTGTCTGTTAAATTTGAATTTATGTGATTTAATTTGCATAAGTGTATAATTTGCATAATTATATGATTGAAATAAGTAGATCATTTGCTTCAGTCTACATCATTTGTATAATACGGGCATGGCATAGAGTCCCTGACATTCTGTCCAGTTAGGAAGAGAAGACGAAAAAAAATTCATTTTAAGCTGCTTCTTTCCATTTCTAATTGGAATGTCAGCTGTATGAGAGAGATCAGTAACTTGGATTACACATTAGACAATGAGACTATTGGGATCCTTACATTAAAATAGCATATTTCATGTGCAGTCAGAACCCAAATATTATATATAACATGACCCTTTATCTGAAAAAAACAGTAATTGAGTACTGCATATGTGCTTCTGTAGGGGTGACAAAGAAATATGATTTGCATTTCTTTTTAGCTCTGCCTTTTACTCTATTTTTTAATGCATGGTCTTATTATTGTTCTGTATTTCATATTCTGATATGGCCTAATGGCTAATCAGTAAATTAGTATTGTTATCATTATTTCCATTTCTAGCTGAATTTGGTCAAAGGGAAACTGCAGCACTTATCAATTAGCTCTACACTCTCCCCTTCCTCATTCCAGAGAGAAGTTATGAAAATCTCTGTCTCTAAGACAAAGAAAGAGCCTTGTATCAGAACATATGTTGGACTTACTCTCTCCCCAGAAACAACCCTGTACGTCGTAACCCATCACTAGTCCCCAGGGGCAGTTCACTGCTGTTCCCCCCCCTTTTTTTTTTATCTGCGCTCAGTCATTACCGACTCTGCAGTGACTGCTTGGACGAGTCCTTGCAGTTTTCAAGGC